CTGGCCCACCTGGATAATGCAGGACCATCTCCCCATCTCAAGGCCCTTAACTTAATCACCTCTGCAAAGTCCCTTTTGTAATGTAAGGATACAGATTCACAAATTCCAGGGATTAAGAAGTTGGCATCTTGGCTGGGGTGAAGGGGTGTATTATTCAGCCTTCCGTACCTCCTCTTGAAGTTTTCTTAACCTTTTGAGTTAGAATTAGTTTCTTTTCCTCTGGATTCCACAATCATCTGCATTTACCTTTATCTTTTTTTTTTTTTTTTAGCTTTTTGTAAATTGAAGTATATTTGATGTACAATATTGTGTAAGTTACAGGTGTACAACGTAGTGATTCACAATTTTTAAAAGTTACACTCCATTTATAGTTATTATAAAATATTGGCTGTATTCCCTGCATTGTGGAATATATCCTTGTAGCGTACTTACTTTATACATAGTAGTTTGTACCTATTAATCCCCTGCCCCTATCTTGTCCCTCGCCTGTTCCCTCTCCCCACTGGTAACCACTGGTTTGTTTTTTATATCTGAGTCTGTTTCTTTTTTGTTATATTCACCATATAAAAAAATATGACAATAAAAAAATTTTGTGTTATTTTTCAGATTCTGCATAGAAATGATATCATACAGTATTTATCTTTCTCTGTCTGACTTATTTCACATAGCGTAATACCCTCCAAGTCCATCCATGTTTCTGCAAATGGCAAATTTTCTTTTTTTATGACTAATATTCCATTGAATATTATCTTCTTTATCCATTCATCTGTTGATGGACACTTAGGTTGCTTCCACATCTTGGCAATTGTAAGTAATGCTGCTGTGAACACTGTATCTTTTCGAATTAGTGTTTTTGTTTTTTTCAGATGTATGCCCAAGAGTGAAATTGCTCTGTCATGTGTGGTAATTCTATTTTTAGTGTTTTGAGAAACCTCCATACAGTTTTCCACAATGGCTGCAATGTGTAGGAGTGTTCCCTTTTCTCCACATCCTCTCCAAAACTTGCCTTTTGTTTTCTTTTTGATGATAGTCGTCTTGCTATGTGTGAGGTGCTATACCATTGCAGTTTTGATTTGCATTTCCCTGATGGTTAGTGATGTTGAGCATCTTTTCATGTGTCTCTTGGCCATCTGAATGTCCTCTTTAGAAAAATGTCTATTCAGGTCCTCTTTCCATTTTTATAATCAGGTTGTTTGTTTTTTGATGTTGAGTTGCATGAGCTGTTTATATGTTTCATATCAACCCCTTATCTGTCATATCATTTGCAAATATTTTCTCCAATTCAGTAGGTTGTATTTTTGTTTGCTTATGGTTTCCTTTGCTCTGCAAAAGCTTTTAAGTTTAATTAGGTCCCATTTGTTTATTTTTGCTTTTATTTCCTTTGCTTTAGGAGATACATCATACGTTTGGGCCTTTAATCCATTTTGAGGGTTTTTTGGGGTTTTTTTTGTGTTTTTTTTTTTTTTTTTTTTGTATATGGTGTGAGGAAATGTTCTAATTTCATTCTTTATATGTATCTGTCCAGTTTTCCCAGTACCACTTATTGAAGAGACTGTCTTTTCTCCACTGTATATTCTTGACTCTTTTGTCATAGGTTAATTGATCATAATTATGTGCATGGGTTTATTTCTGGACTCTCTGTTCTATTCCATTGATCTATTTTTCTGTTTTTGTACCAGTACCATACTGTTTTGATTACTGTAGCTTTGTAGTATAGTCTGAAGTCAGGAAACCTAACTCCTCCAGCTCTGTTCTTCTTTCTGAAGATATTATTGGCTATAGGGGATCTTTTGTGTTTCCACACACATTTTAAAGTTATTTGTCCCTGTTCTGTGAAAAATACCCTTGGTATTTTGATAGGGGTTTCACTGAATCTGTAGATTGCCTTGGGTAGTATGGTCATCTTAACAGTATTAATTCTTCCAGTACATGAACGTGGTATATCTTTCATCTGTTTGTGTCGTCCTCAATTTCTTTCATTAGTGTCTTATAGTTTTCCAAGTACAGGTCTTTTACATCCTTAGGTAGCTTTATTCCTAGGTAGTTTTATTCCAGTTTTTATTCTTTTCGAGGTGATGGTAAATGGGATTGTTTCCTTAATTTCTCCTTCTGATAGTTCATTATTAATACAGAAATGCAACAGATTTCTGTATATTAATTTTGTATCCTGAAACTTTACTGAATTCATTGATTAGCTCTGTTAGTTTTCTGGTGTTGTCTTTAGGATCTTCTATGTATGGTATCATGTCATTTGCAAACAGTGACAGTATTACTTCTTTCTTTTCAATTTGGATTCCTTTTATTATTTTTTTCTCTGATTGCAGAAGCTAGGACTTCCAAAGCTATGTTAAATAAACATAACAAGAGTGGACATCCTTGTCTTGTTACTGATCTTAGAGGAAATGCTTTCAGCTTTTCACCATCGAGTGTGATGTTAGCTATGGGTTTGTCATATATGGCCTTCATTATGTCGAGGTATATTCCCATTTATGCCCATTTTCTGGAGAGTTTTTGTCATAAATGGATGTTGAATTTTGTCAAAAGCTTTTCTGCATCTATTGATGTGATCATATGGTTTTTATTCTTCAATTTGTTAATGTGGTGTATCACATTGATTGATTTGCAGATATTGAAAAATCCTTGCATCTGTGGGACAAATCCCACTTGATCATGGTGTATGATTCTTTTAATGTACTGTTGGATTCAGTTTGCTAGTATTGTTGCTGAGGATTTTTGCATCTGTGCTCATCAGTGATATTGGCCTGAATTTTCTTTTTTGTGTGATATCTTTGTCTGGTTTAGGTATCGGGGTGAGGCTGAACTCATGGAAAGAGTTTGGAAGTGCTCCCTCCCCTGCAATTTCTTTGGAATAGTTTGAGAAGGATAGGTATTAACTCTTCTCTAAATGTTTGGTAGAATTCACCTGTGAAGCCATCTGATCTTCAACTTTTGTTTGTTGGGAGTTTTTTAACTATGGATTCAATTTCATTACTGGTAATCGGTCTATTCATATTATCTATTTCTTCCCGGTTCAGTCTTGGGAGATTGTACATTTCTAAGAATTTGCCCATTTCTTCTAGGTTGTCCATTTTCATGGCATATAGTTGTTCATAGTAGTCTCTTACGCTCTTCTGTATTTTTGTGGGGTTGGTTGTAATTTACCTTTTCCATTTCTGGTTTTATTGATTTGGGCCCTCTCTCTGTTTTTCTTGATGAGTCTGGCTAAAGGTTTATCAATTATGCTTATCTTTCCAAAGAACCAGCTGTTAGTTTCATTGATCTTTTGTATTTTTTTGTTTCTTTTTTTTTTTTAGTCTCTAGTTTGTTTATTTCTGCTCTGATCTTTATTATATCTTTCCTTCTACTAACTTTGGCTTTTGTTTGTTCTTCTTTATCTAGTTCCTTTAGGTGTAAGGATAAGTTGTGGTTTTTTTGTTTGTTTTTGTTTTGTTTTTTTGGCAATACGTGGGCCTCTCACTCTCCCGTTGCAGAGCACAGGCTCCAGACACGCAGGCTCAGCGGCCATGGCTCATGGGCCCAGCCGCCCCGCGGCACGTGGGATCTTCCTGGACCGGGGCACGAACCCGTGTCCCCTGCATCGGCAGGTAGACTCTCAACCACTGCACCACCAGGGAAGCCCAAGGATAAGTTGTTTACTTGAGATTTTTCTTGTTTCCCGAGGTAGGCTTGTATTGCTATAAACTTTCCTCTTAGAACTGCTTTTGCTGAGTCCCAGAGATTTTGGATGATTGTGTTTCCATATTCATTTGTCTCCAGGTATTTTTTATTTCCTCTTTGAGTTCTTCAGTGATACCTTGGTTGTTTAGTAGCATACTGTGTAGCCTCCACATGTTTAGGTGTTTTTTAAAATTTTTTTTGCAGTTTTTTCTTGTAGTTGATTTCTATGTATATATCTTTAATATGGAGAGTTTTAGAACTATTTTGAAATTTGGGGTTAATCTTTCTACCTTTACTATTATTTTCTTGGTGGCAACTTCATCTGTGCAGTCAGAATGGCCTAAATCTGGACCTGGGACTCCCTCAGTTACCTCTATGTAAAGGAGAGGGGTGCCTTTCTAGCTGGGAATGAGAGCAGATAGAGGAGCAGGATTTCTAACCCAAAGCCCTGCTCTACCAGCTACTAGCACAGAGCAGCACCAATTTCTCAGTTTCCTCATCTGTAACATGGAAATAATTCTAGTATGCGCCACATGTGTTTCTTGTGAGTATTGATGAATGAACATATGAAAATTACTTAGAACAGTGATTGGCACATAATATTCCCTCAAAACTGTTAGTTATTAGTATTTCTGTTTTGTGAGATTATTGTAAGGATTAAAGGGACAGTAGATAAACCACAGCACCGTGCCTTACGCACAGTAAATTCTCAACACAGTCTAGCTTTTGATTTGTCATTATTGTCTGTACTAAATACAACAGTTAAATAAGTCAGATTAGTGAAGAAAATGTTGTGTTTCAAAGATAGGAGTTTCATGAAATGGACTCAAATTTGTGCCAACAATCTGCATAATTCCAGGCTCTCTTATCTTAGGTTAAAAGATATGAAGGTTCAGTAATGTTGCAATGGATAGATTTTATTAGTGTCAATGATGAAATAATAATAATCACTGCAGACTTTTAAATATTATGAAGTGTTTTTAAATATATCATCTCATGGGGCCTTAAAGTGACAATGTTAACCCCAGGCAGTATCTAGCAATCTAAGGGCTATTTGATTATTGAAGCTTCCCGGATTATTATCATCCTGGTCACATAATAGACATTGTGTCCTTTCTATCATAGGCTATTCAAGGGTTGCCTATTTGTTCCCAAGGCAAATTGAACCATTCCCCTCAAAAGTTTACAGTAAATAGAATAGAAACTTCTGGAATCATCTTCCTCTCTCACAAATGAAGAAACAGCAAAGTGGTACAGCATCTCAGCTGTTCCAAGTTCCTCAAATCAGTTTTACTTTTGCAAAACCGGCCCTCCGACTTCCTATATCCTGTGAGCTGCCTTACGAGCAACATGACCGGCAGCCACATTTGTTGTAATTTTTTAAATATGTGGAAAAAAAGCAAGATATCGACCATGTATTACCTTAACCAAGATGCCAAATTATCTAACTTGTTTCTCCAGGCGAGCAGCCCGACCACAGGGACAGCTCCCAGGAGCCAGTCAAGGTTGTCTGTCTGTCCATCCACTCAGGACATCTGCAGGTAAGTGCCCAGCAAATGATCCCATTTGGTGTGTTTTTAGACCAGTGCTTTGTACTCTTGCTGTGTTTGCTGAGACTGTGTGACTCTTGCCTCTGCCTTACATTGTCCGTGGATAATTTATACCAGCCTAATTTTTCTCCCTTAGTGCATTTCCCTCATTTGATCTTTATTTACCAACTTTGCGTCCGTGCTGTCATTTTCATCGCTCTCTCTCTCTCTGTTTTCCCATGGCTTTCCTCTCCATTCCCATTCTCCATCCTTCACCTGCTGCTTTGTCTAGATCTGCCATCTTACATGACATGTCAGAAGCCTCATTTGAGCAAAGCACCCCTGTCGTGGTGCTGAGCCCTGCTAGGAAGGAGTCTGGTAAGAAATCAGTAAAACAGAGGCCTAGGAGGAAGAGGAGGGCTGCTCTGAGGTACGAGCACACAGAAGAACAAGTGAAAGGGAGAAGAAAGGATTTTCACCTCCAAATCCCCAGCCACCGATGGAGTGAGACTGACACAGATTCTTCAGATTCATCGTCCACCGACGAGAGTCACTGGATTCAGGCAAAACGAAGAGCCCAAGTGAAATTCTGCCTGTCTCGGAGAAGGAGAAATAAGAAACCAAGTGGAAGCTTGGATGAGTCTTCCGCTCCTAATGAAATCCATCCAGTACATTTAGGATCCAAAGATAAAAAGCACCCGGAGCTGACCGAGTGTGAGAGCTACTCTTTAAATCTCCACAGAGGAAAAGGCACAACATACCAAGGATGCAGTGTTTCCCTGCCAAGACGGTCCTCTGACATTAAGAGACCGTCAGGGAAGGATGAGGAAAGCAGAGGCAGGTACCACCACAGGGATCCTCGGCTCTTGCACAGGCCTGGGCAAAATGAAACAATCAAGAGCATGTTTTCAGAGACAGATTCCAGCACTGAAATGCTGGCAGTCAAAGAAGATGGCAAGCGTGTGGAGGATGCAGGATTCCTTCAGAAGCCTCCTGCCACCTACCATGATGGGTCTGATCATTTAAAAGCATGCAGGTCAGTCACTCCAGAGAAAGACTTGATTACATCCAACTATATCTCCTCCTGCTGTGAATTACGTGTGTGTGTGTGTGTCACCTACCCTCAAAACATAACCTTTATTCATACTTTATTCATACTTTATAACCTTTATTCATACTTTATTCATGCTGTCCAGTTGGATATAGGGTGATAAAACGAGCAAAGGGCTGGGAAGAACAATGCACGAGTATCCATGGGTTTGAATGCTGTTCCAGAATACAGTTAGATTTTCCCCTCCCCCTTCTTTCAACTGAATAATGACTTATCCTGGTCAAAAAACTGACAAACCAATTGAGTCCTATCCCTACTCTCGGTAAGACAAAAATTGTGGAGGAAACATGAGTGAGAGCGTGAAACTTCAGACTCTTCAGTGCAAATCTGGTGAACTGTTAGCACTCTGACAGAGGATATTCAGGGCTTGGGGGGTTTAAGGTCAGATTTTTGTATCAGAAAAATTTCCTCTGCAGTTGGTGCTAATTTGTTCTCCAGTTATCTGACTCAGCAGGATAATTCGAGACTGAAAGGGCACAGAAACAAGTCACGGACATGTCTGCGGGGTTGCTGGGGCCTTCGGGGAAGGAGACCACATTAACTTTGGTGATAATTGTGTACTAAAAGTTTTCAATGTGTAGACAATTCATAGCTATGAGACTGCTTGTTTGCACTTTTTACCCGACTGGATACAATTTTCAAAATAACCTAAAATTTAAAAGAATGATGTAACTATCCAGGCTAGTATGCACAAATAAGACAATGTTAAACAAAACAAATATTTTGGATTTTCCTGTTATACCCAGTCATTTAAGTTGCTTGGATTCTGTTCGGGAGCAAGTGATGTTTTTGTTGCATAATGCTTGGTTTTGGGGGCTTATTTTTATGAAAGTTGAAGTTATTTTATAAAACATGTATGTTTCATGTGAATCACGTGACCCAGAGAACACCTCCTATGTACATTCAGGGCAGGACGAGAAGGAGGATTAAGCTCTGGATGTAAATAACATTGTAATGGTTTGTTCCTCTGAAAGTTTTATGAAATAGTCATTCATAAAATGTTCGTTCATTTATTCACTCAGGCGTTTATAATGCATCAGGCGCTGAAACTATTACAGTGCATAAGATTTGTAGGGTCTCTGACATCTAGAGCTTACAATCTGATGGGAATAACAGACACGAAAGCTATTTCACAGTTAGTTACAATTGTGATAAGGAATGTAGGAGCGTATAATGTGGAAGGTTTACCTATTCTGGGAGATCAGAGAAGGACTCTCTTAAGGAAGTGACAAGCTGACTGAGGCTCAAGCATGACAGGAACTGATCAAGGAAAGAGCAGGGAAGGCCATCCAGGCAGCATGCCAGCAGGGTTCCAGGGAACTGAGAGCTGAATGCTGCTGGGGTGGGGGGGAGGTGGTGGAGCTGAGGCTAGAGAGGTGGAGAGCGCCCTGTAAAACACGCTAAGTGGTTTAAAACAGAAGTGACACCATTTGACTTAGATGCTAATACGAGTAAGTTTCTTGTAATCTTTTGACTATGATTTAAGTGTGACTTTGCTAAAATGTCTGGGGATGGACTAAAACACTATTTCTAGTCTAGATGAAGAACTCCCCAGTCATAGACATCTGTGGTCATTCCCCAAATCTACTTCCAGAGTAATTTAATGAAAGAGAGTCAGAAAAGCTAGTTGTAGGCTTAACGGTAATTGGAGAAAAAAGTAATGATTGTAATTAAAGTCATAGTGGCTGGCTCTCTGAAGTTAAAAGCACTGCTCTGGAGGAACATTTTCAAAGACAGAATATTTAACATAGACTTCTATTAATGAAAGTGAGATCGATGGACCTATAGTCTTTATTTCTTACTGTGGGTTATCGTCAAAATACACCCACTAAGCAAATCCTATGAGCCGTATATTATACTGGGAGCTGAGGATAAAGTGACAGAAGACTTGATTCTTCCCTTAAGTGGCCTGTTTTCTAGTGGAAGAAATCAAATGTATACCCGAAAAGATGAATGTTCAAGATAGCACAGGGTAAGTTTAAGAAGAGGAATACTGGGCTTCCCTGGTGGCGCAGTGGGTGAGAATCTGCCCACTAATGCAGGGGACACGGGTTCGAGACCTGGTCTGGGAAGATCCCACATGCCGCGGAGCAACTAGGCCCGTGAGCCACAGCTACTGAGCCTGCGCGTCTGGAGCCTGTGCTCCACAACAAGAGAGGCCGCAATAGTGAGAGGCCCGCGCACCGCGATGAAGAGTGGCCCCCGCTTGCCACAACTAGAGAAAGCCCTCGCACAGAAACGAAGACCCAACACAGCCAAAAATAAATAAATAAATTAATTAATTAAGAAGAGGAATACTACAGGAATTTGAAGAAAGAAAAATTGCTGAGAGCTGACATCATCCAAGAACCCCTTGAGAGGTGGGATTGGGGCTGAGAAAAGGAGAAGTTAGCCTGGCAGAGATGTATGGCCTGCATCCAGGCCCTCAAGGCAGGGCCCAGGCAGGGACTAGGGAATGCCACTGTGCACCCGGGAACTCTTTGTGAACTGTGTGACTGGGTTAGAAGGTTTGCATAGATGGATAACTAGAATATTTTTTAAAAAGACATTGTGAAGAAAACATGCATATCCTTCCAAGGAGCTTAACTCTGTTCCGTGCACCCCTGTTTTCAAACTGCCTTTCTGAGCCTCTGGGTGCCAAAGAGGCTGCCGAGGACAGTTCAAGGCAGTTGTGTTCCTGTTAGCCCATCTTTAACCAGAGGGTTGGGGTTCTATATAACATTCCTTTAAGGAAAAAAAAGAAGATTCCACTGTAAAAAAAATAATGTAGAATAGCCTTTGCTAAATCAAATAGGCTTGATGAAGAACAACTCGTAAGAGTAGTCACAGTGACACCAGTGATGTACCGGAAAGGGACCTAGATTGAGGAGGAGGAGTGGTGATGTGGTGGAAGCAGCCTACTTCAGGGTGAGTAGGATGAGGATGGTAAAGGGGAACGAAAGGGAGGAACAAATGGCATGCAGGCATTTGCATCCCCCCAGGTGAGTGGGATCCCCCCAGGTGAGCAGGGTTACCCCCCTCCCCCAGGCCATCAGGAGCAATCTTAGTGCTTGCAGTCGGTGAGGGCAGAAGACAAAGAAGTCAGGAAAGACTCCAGACCTTGGAAGCTAGGAGGTAGTAAAAGCCGATGTTACTGACAGAGGCAGAGGAGGTCAGAGGCCAGTTGGTTAGGGAAAGACATGATGAGTTTAATTGCAGGCAGGCTATTTGTGGTGACGGTGCCGTCCCAGGGTCGACTGTCGAGCAGATAACGTGAGTCACGTCACTGAAATGCAGGAGGGCAGTCACGGCTGGGTCTGTGTGATTTTTCAAGCAGTAGTGAACTATATACACAGACCAACACTAAACAGCTGCGTGTTTGCAATGGTCATTAGCGTCATGTATGAGCACAGGGCAATCGCATCAGGATATTAAAAATGAAAATCTCAAGGTCACGGAGGACATATAGATTTGGGTATCATTCTCAGGGAGGTGACTGAGATGCCTGGAAAGTGAATGAAGTCTCTGTATGAGATCATGTGTAGGAAAAAAGCCTCTGTATGGACCCAGCCCGAGCACCAGGGTCCCCTGCGTACAGAGGAAGATGAACTCGCACTCCTGCCGCTTGACATGGACAGGCAGGATGAGTCTCAGCTACAACCACAAAGCAGAAGCTCCTAAGCCCTTCTTCCTTTTTTCTTCCTGGCATTTAGTCCCACAGGGACGCTCTACCCACTCTTGACCTTCATCAAAGCCTCGCGCAGAGAAAGTTTCTCTACTACCTTCCTATAACTTAGAGGGAATTTAAATCATCATACTATCACACCCACACTTGTGGAGTAGGAAAGGCTTTGCCTTTTTTTTAAAGAAAATTTACATTAAAAAAAATCATGTTAGCTCATGCGTGAAACTTGTCAGTAGC